TTTTGTGTTTTTTTCCGTGCACAAAGGAAGGAACAGGCTGCGACCTACTGTTTTAGTTATCTTAACGCGTTTGATTCATGTATCGCGGAGTCACAGTGTTCGGCCGGTTGACCCGTTAACAATCGTTCGTTACGTTCGACAGCGTCAGTTGTGCATCATTTTTTTTTTCGTCGTCCGTCCGGCTCGAGTAGGTAACGCATTCCCGTTTGTTACTCCACCGCGAAACTGTACGCCCACTCCGGTCGGAATATGACAGTTACACCATCGAGTTTTGATTTTAGTGCGCCCATTTCGTCCGTTGGAGTTCACGGGGTTTTCCCCGTGACTTGGTGCACTTCGAGGTGTAACAACACGATAATCTGTGCGCCCTGTCCACGGTCGTGCAAGTTGGCAGCCATGCATCATTCGCCGTCGGGGTCCACTGGTCAGGTAATATATTTTTTTACCTCATGTCCGATCAACCGATAACCGTTTTTATATTGTTTGTAATATTATTATTATTTTTATGTAATGCGCTGGTGTTCGGTATGATCATACTCTACTTGTCCGTATAACAATAAACAAAACATTTTTAGTATAATTGCGCACATTCCGGTGTTCCATCTTTTTTTTCTGTAAAATTAAATACCCACTCCGATACACAACTCATTTTCAGGTTCGCTCACGAAGGCGCACGTTACAAGTTATAAGTTAACGTGTAACATGTTCGATGACGGCGCGACGAAAATACACATTTTATTTTATTTTAATTTTCAGATATCCAATACGAGTACATTTTACTATGTTATATTATAGATTAAAACCTTTCCCGAGACGCGACCAATTAAAAAATTAACTAGATGATTTGAAGGATGTTGTCCTATCTTAATTATGAATAATGAATTCGAATTGGTATTATAATAATACTATTATTAATAAAAAAAAATATTTCAAAAAAAGTGTTTATTATTCTAATACGATTATTTTAATATTAATAATGGCCTAATGGCCCCTGTGACTAGAGTGTCTGGAGATTGAATAAGGCTAAATCTGGTATTTACATAATAATAATAATAACATACGTATATTTCAACAAATATCAACAAAACAAAAAAAACAACAAAGGAACAATATAATAAATTAAAACAACTTTCATTAAAATATAAAAAGAAACAATATAAAAATGACCCTGACAATGTCGATGCAAAAGAAGGCGAATCGCAAACGGCGGAGTAACGTGTGCACAACTTGCTATCACGTATGGTGGCGTCTACCCGCAAACAACGTGGCCGAAACGACGGAGACTCGCAAACGGCGATGGCGTACCGCAAACGGCGGTTTCACGTACAGCGTGGACGAAAACGACGGCGACCGGCAAAAAATGGTTTGAACGGCAACTTCCGTGGAAGAAGAAATCTTACATCCGCGTCAACATACGTGAAACAACAACGGTACGTCAACTACGTGTATCAACAACGCACGACAACTCCGTGTAAAAAAAACAACGCACACCAAAACGACGACGTTCGTAATGGAGACGAGAAAAAAAACAACACATCGGCGGCGGGTTTTTCGTCGATGCACAGAGTCGCAACGACATTTTTAAATATTGCAAACCAAACCTAACTGTCGTTCGGCTGATTGAACATAATTGTCTATACGGTGCTACCAACTGCAACCCGGACATTACATTTTGACCGTACTGGCGTGAACAGTAATACTATTACGATTTACAACATTCTTATTTTTTTTTTCTTGCGCATATTTAAATAGTTTTGTTGGTATTCCGAAACGGTCCTACGAGTCCCCCTCCCCCTAAAAATCGAGAATAACAAATCATGATAATGTAGTTTAAACGCTTGGTTTTATATTTTCGCTCAAGTTTAATCGATGATACAACTATAACCAACTGTAACAGTGAAATCAATTAAGATATTAATTTGTCGGCGAAATTCTAACACAGGGTGAAAATAAAGGAAAACGTCTCATATACTAAGCGAATTCTGCAAGAAGAACATGATTTGATTGTTATTGGGGGTTGATTTTTTGTATTGGTATAATTCGTTTGAGTGTACATAAACAAAGGCTTAAAATAAACAAAATACGTTCCGACTTAATCACGGATCTGTTTGCGAAAACTCCGTGTAAATTTATTGCAAAATCAAACACTAAAAACAATTTGTACGTATTATATATACATACATGTAACATTGTAATTTTGTTATTGGCACCATCGTGGTATACATTTTGAGCCGAAATTATGTTACACATTGGTTCATGAGTGAATTTTGCATACGGCTATAAGTGGACCGAATTTGTTTTGTACCATTCGTCCATAAACAAAAAACAAATCGTCAAGTACCGTCCAAGGATTATTTAAATAATCAGTTAATAAATTACCACGTGTAGGATGGTCGTACACGCTCTCCACCGCGACGTTGCTCCCAAGTTTCAAACGTGATTGTCTCAACTCCATGGTCAATCTGGATGATATCAGTAGAACAAAAAAAAAAATTAAATGTCAAAGAAATTTTGGAAAACATAAGAAAAATAAAATAATATCTGTTCCGAAAAGTTCGACAGATGACGGGGGAGAGAGAAAGAAAGAGAGTGAGTGAGAGGAGGAGAGGGAATGAAAGAGAGATAGAGTGAGAGAGAATTTTTTCGGGCCGTCATTATTTCTCTTACAATAACGGGTGGTAGTGGTCACAAAATTATACATATTTAGTTGATACGCGCTATATTGTCCGATGAATATACTGAGTATCTGCGTCAGCGTTTCACGTTCTGATGCATTGCTATCGTATTTATATTGTTTAATTTCAAATTTATTTAAGTCTTGTCGCTTCAATACTGAGTATTTTTTCGACATTTTCAAAGTATTTGTACTATTTATTTGAACATATATTTTTGTTTAGAGTTCACCAAGAATAATATCTAACTATGATATGATAGGTGGTAATTTTGTATTGATATATTTATTAAAGTTCGAGTGAATAGATTTACATGTACTCGTTGTTAATCTAAAACTCGAAGAGTTACATGTTCAAACTTTAGGAAGAAAATTATATTTACTATCTTCCAAAATATAATGGTCAGTTAAGTAGTAGTGGTATTTTGCCCATCGTCAATTAGACAATCGCTTATTAAATTCTGAACAAAATAGAAACTTTTTCTGACTCTAAAAACATTAAAGCAAATGTACTATGTAATCAAGTAACATTAATTAATGAACTGTTATTGTAATCTTTTACTAAACAGAACTTTGTATGCTTACTAATATACTAATTACTTATACTATGACCTTGTGATGTTAAATCAATTATATGACCTAAAGACCAATTTTTCGCAATAGCAATATGTATTGAAATTTCAAAATCAATTATTAATATTTTGAGTAAAAATATTTGTCAGATTTGATTACACTTATTGATCGTTTGATTAATCATAAATGCATATGTTTGAGATATTTTATCTGCCAACAAACAAATAATCAATGGAATAAAATTTTCACTTTTAAAGCCATGTATAGTAAACACCCATATCTAAAATCAAGCAAAATCATCACAAGCAACAAATTTAAATGTTCTGTCAATGTAAATTGAATCAAACTTACATAAAAATTTTAAATTTTTAAATAACAATATTTTTTATTTGATCACTAAGAATTAAAATTATTATTCATTTTTTATAGTTATTACATTTGTATTTTCTAAAGCTAAATGATCTTCTATAATATTTTTAGGAAATACAGGCAGAATATTTTACAACTGCCACATATATAACATTTAGGGGTAGTGTGTTGCTGTTGTCACATAGCTAACATACGCAGTCATCAGTTCAAATAAGGTTTAGTGCAAAAAAACATTCCGTAGTATCCTCTCTTGCCATCGTGCTTGTTGCTTTACACTGCTTCCCGTCGAACCAACTCTATTGAGAGTAAAGTCCACATACGTAATAATTCTCTATTCATAGAGAGAAGTACTATACAACACTTTACCCTTACCAAGTGAAAATTACATCGACAAAGACCTCTGACGGTCGTTTCTATAGAAAAAGAAATATATACATTTCTGATTTAATCGATATCGTGATTAGTAAAGTCATCTATAAAAATACTATTTTGTGTTAATTCTTTAACTATTATTACTATTTTTTTTTTTTTATGGACATTATCTATAGCTGAAACTTTACACGTTATATTTACAATTTATCTATTGATTTCGTTTTAATTTGAAGATTTGTGGTCGTGTTGAATGGAATCTCGTAGCAATCTATTCATTAGTCGTATATATCTTTGCTGAACAATTACGTTTACAAAAAATATAAAAATATAATATAATAATAAATATAATATATAATATATAAAAAATATAGCGATTACAAAGTGAGCCAGTTGTAACATTTTCCGAATCAAAATTATACTTGTAATTATTTGAAGCAATCGTTTTTCTTATACTTTTTAAAAACTAAGCCATTGTAAGTTTTAAGTAAAAGTCTATTTGAACAAATTGTAACTCGATTATATTTGACTAACTTGCTTGATACATCAATGCGACTGTTTTTTGTCTCGAATCGTATCCGTTCATTCAGTGCAATTTTTTATTGTTATCTTAAAATAGTTACAATAATTAATTATAATCCGGCAAGATTACGACTTGTAGTTAAATTTAAAACCGATAGTTTCTTGCACAAGCTAAAACGGTGAACGGGTTTTATTTGTTATTTTTTTTTCACACAACTCGTATCGTATCGACTTGTAGATCATGGTAACCAAAACGGTTTTCTCGTCTAAGACGAATAATGTTTCTTCGGGTGAAAACCGAATTATTATTTTTCGAGCTTGGACGAAAAATGGTGATTGAAACGAAAACACCTACGCCCGTGCGTATCGTCCGTTGGATTTCGCGGGCATTATCGTCGCCGTTGTCATCGTCGTAATCGGCGACGGCGACGGCGACGGCGGTGGCGGCGGCGGCGACATCGGATCGCGAGCGCTCGTCCCCGCAGTCGGCGTCGTCCGGTGTGCTCGCCAAGCCGTCCAACCACACCACCGTTCAGTTCGCGCGCGAACGATTCACAAGTCGGTGTACACGAGCGCGCGCGTGCCCACTCGTCCACCCGGACCACGCGATCGGCACCGAGGTGAGAGAGTTCAGAATCTCCTCCGAGGGCGACGAACACATTGGCCGGTCATTCTCGCCGTCTCGTCACCCGCGTCGAGCCCTACAACTATCGTAACAACAACGATCGTAACAGTCGTAATACCGTTCGTTCGTCTGCTCGCATCGCAGTGCGCGTCGTATTATACGATCGACACGTGCCGTAAACGAATAAATATTCTACAAACGTTCCGCTCGTTTTCGGTTACGCCGAGGAGGTGCGCGCGGTTCGTCCTGTGTCGTCGCGTCCAGGAAACCGTGCTATCGTCGGATTCGTCACGATCGCCGCGGAGTGCGTAAACCGCCGGGGTACTCGGGTCGAGGGCGGCCGTCGTCGACATGTGACGCGCGCGTGTTCGCGGCGGACGAGTGACGAACAAGCGCGGCGCACCAGTGCTCGCGTCATCGGGCGAGACACGCGGTACGGGTCGGCGGTCATCGTGTCGCACGCGGCGTGCGTATTGCGCCCGCGGTCGGCCCGGTGCTGGTAATGTCGGCCGATGCCATGTTGACCAACGGCGGCGGCGGACCGTGTTGGCTGCTCGTCACCGTCGTGTGGTCGTTGCACGTGTTGGACGACTCGGCGGCTGTCGCCGCGTTGCCACCTGTTATTCGCATAGGTAAGAGATACGTCGTACGACACTACGCAGCCCCAAACGTTGTTAGCAATCCGTATACGTTTACCGATCGTTCTACTAAAATTTGTAGCATAAACATGCGTGTAGATCGTAATTGTTCAAATAAATACTCAACGATTAACTCGTACCACATGTTATATTTGTGGTCTTGATACTGTAATGGAACTGAAAATAAATACGTAATAGACGTTAATTTTATTATTGATTCTTATTAAATATTACTCTTACAAGTTTTTTTTTTTTTATTGCTTCCGTCCGTCATTATTCGAGCTATTTTCTCTCCGTAGCTCACACCCAACCTCGACGCACATTTTGTAATCCTATCTATCCACCGCTGTCTGGACCGTCTTGTCAGCCTTTTTGTGTCCAATTTCTAACTTGAGGCCGACCAATGGGGGCCTTTAGACCTCCACAAATGTCCAGCCCATCCCAGTCTTCTACTTTTAGGATTCTAATCATGTATGTTTCACCATATAGTTCTTTTAATCCTCAAATTATTCTTAATTCTCTCGATTGTTTCTTTTACGACCAAATATCCTCCTAAAGACCTTGCATTCAAAAGTAGCAAGTTTATTTACATCTGTCTTTATTGATTTTTATTTTTAATTATATAAGAGAAAAATATTCTATTCTTTAATATTAAATTTAGTGAACACAAACTAATAAATCGAATTATATGATGTACGCAATGTTAAAACAAAAAATGCATGTTAGAATTTTGGGAAATCTTTAAAATAATAATTCAATCATTTGTCAATTGAAAATAATGATTAAAAAAAAAAAAGATACAGTTAATACATTTAGTTTTAAGTGAGTACAGATTGCAATATTTTATTTTAATGGATAATAGTTTTCCTGTAGACTAAAACAATTTTAATTAAATATTTTAAAGTTCCTATGTTTTACATATTGTGCAGTTTTCACTCAATTATTTCTCGTATAAGTTAACCGATATTGTAATTAAGCCCCATTTCCGTATATACTTAAGAGCGTGTTCCATATGTTACTGAAATGTTTGTATGAAAAGGGTTAAGCCCGTTTAATATAATAAAATAAAATAAATTAATAAGATAGGGATGAAGGAGAGCAGTATCATGTTTAGTAAGAATTTGTTAAAGTTAAATTAGGGGATGAAGTAAGTAAAATACGGATGTTTTAGTGAATTGTAGTTTACGTTTATGGTCAGCATCGATATTTTCGAGCTTGGATATTTATACTTTCTTTTTATATAATACATATGGAAAATATTTAATATTAAACGCAATTCTTAAATTTATCAAAGTCCAATCACGTAGGATTAATTAACTTATGGCTATCATTCAACACGTTACGATAAAGCCGAATAAATTGTGAACAAAGAATAATAAACGGCACTCCGTTTATGCAATTTACGTGCGTTTTTTACGATAAGAAATTGTAGAACTTATACCTCGTTTACACGTGACGAGCGTTCGGCCAAGAAACTCGTCTTGACGCTCGGCCCAGTACCGAAATTGACCGAGTCAGTGTCTGCACACATTTTATTCACTGGGCCGAACGACCCCCGAGTTCACCCACAAGATGTAATCGGCTTTACTGCTCGGCTAGTGGTTTAGACACGCCGAGTACAGTCAATTTCGGTAGCGGGGGTAGTCGGTGAATAGATGAGGTTTCTATTCGCTCGTTCACGTTCATTTTACTCTTCCTATAACTGGGCCGAGTACTGGTTTTTTGAGTTCACCAAGTTACACTCTTCGACCGAGCGTTCGTCACGTGCAAACGAGGCATTACAGAATACAATACACTATTACCTAATAATTATATTAATATCGTTGTTTAAAATATTTTCGTAAATTATACCACCGTTATAAATATGAAAACGTATTTTTCTTACGACAACGAAGTGTATTTGTTCTGTAAAATGTTTGTATTTATTTATTTTACATGATAGTAAATTAATATTAAATAGTTCATACGAATAATCATAAGATCATAAATGGATTTTTTTTTTTTTTTTTACATGAAATTGAAATAATAAAAAAATACTAAACGTTGAATATAAAATATATTTTTAGCACTTATAAGAATTTAATTTATTTGAATCGTACTTAAAATGTTACTACCATCGTAAATGTTGTTTATGTATTCATCCAAAAGAGCGACACAATCATACAATTACAATAGACAATTGACATGAAACTTATACGGTTATGGAATAAGTTGAAATTTGAAATAGTTTTTCCTAAATAAATTAAGATATTTAACTTAACTTTTAATTTTTAACATTGCGTTGAATGACAAATAGTTATATTGTTGGATAAGATTTTAAAATCTAGAAAATAAAATAAATATTTATTTTGTCACGAGGAGTACATATTTTGCTCGACTAACCATTGAATTTTAAGTTTTTATTGCAGATTTTTATTTATATTGGTATTACTTCAGGGAAAATCGAAAAATATTTACTTCAAAGAAGTACCATGAGTCCAATTTATGATCGAATTAAATCCTACACAAGACTTTAGCCGGGTGTAGATTTACGATGTGAAAAAGTATTTTTAGAAAGAAAAACGTACCATAATATTTATATATTATTGGGCTCCTCTCAGAATCTAAAACGATGTATCTATATTAATACAAAACTGCAATTTAGATTTTTCTAAAATTGTAATATATTTTTTTTTTCTACTATAATCTTGATAAATTTAAAATAACGAATCAGACCTCTCTTATAGGTTCACAATATTGAGTTTTTGTGTTGATCCAACAACACAATCTATTGATTTTGTACATTTCTTGATTTAATTAATATATGTATGTTTATTATTCTGAACCCCACGTGCTTAGTATTAGGGACACCATTTTAGTTCTTTAAGTATGTGAAAAAATTTTATGAGGCCAATTTTTTTTTCCACACAAATAAGTTCTGTGAACAATGCGAAATAAATCAGAAGTGGGTATTTTTAGTGGAAAAGGAATAATAATGTTTTTGGTAGAGGTGACTAACCGATTAGATGTTTCATTAAGTACCTAGGATTCAATGTGTCTCGGAGCCTAAAGATATTTGACAGTTTTATGATATAAGGGAAGTTGATATGTTAAAGATTTTATCATGGGAATATGTGGAGAAATATAATGATGAAAAGGGTTGGATTAAAGAAAAAGTAGGCATAATTGAGAATCGGAAAAAATTAGAAATTTTTGGGAATTTACAAAAAAAATTAATTGAAGAGCGTAAATTATGTCGTAGACTTCGCTGGAAAATTAAAATGCCAATGGGTGAAGGTTAGAAGAGAACGATATATTAATGGAAAATATGAAAAAAGAAAATCTCGAAAATAGGACAGATGCTGATCCGTCAGTGAATACACGGATTGAGTTTGGAAAATTTGAAGAAATTAAATCCGAGAAGAAGGAATTAACGATTAGTATATTACTCTACATGATGGTTAAAATTACTACTATACAAGCCATAAACATGTTATGAAACATTAATTATTTTCAATGCATTCATAACAATTTTATTTTACTTATTTAATAAGTCAATATTCAATAGTTAAAAATAATCTTGTCGTTGCTGAATTTATTGGACGATACTTTTGGATTATAACGATTTAGGGTAATTTATTAAAATATACTCATCATGTTAAAACTATGTATAAGTATATGTAAGTCAAGTAAAGAATAAAAATAATTATTTGTATAATAAAAAAAAAAAAAAAATTACGTAATATACCACGCGAATAGTTTTTTCTCTCTAAGGAAATGAAAATGTAATAGGTAAACTTAGTACGTAGTTTAAACATGAACCGATGACCGCTGAGACCAGAACTTAAAAAATAGTAAATATAACACCGATTCAGTACATGGGGCGCCGATAATAATATCAACAACAACAATATTTGATCAATTATATTTTCACAGTCTTCATCAAGTGGTGGTCGGTCTTCGGCAGATGTAATTCAAGCAACAACATGATTAATACCAAGTATACATTTCATCGTTTGCCCGGGAAGCTTTCGTCTGTAAGGTGTAGTAGTAGCACGTAGCTTAGAATTGTAAGAACCTTTCAGGTTTATGCAGAGCCATCAAATACCAGCAGCATTTATTCTCTTGTCAAATCTTTGTAAACTAAAATGTTTTTATGATATTTTCTACTTTTTCGCTGAACACAACAATTAAAATATTGTGCAGACACGTACGTTCAGAAAATAGGAAAGTAGAGGATTCGTTTTTGCATGTGAATTAGCAATGGATTACAAATCATTATTTCGATAAACGTCTGTAGTTAATGCCTCGGAAACCGGTTGGAATTGTCGCGCTAACTATCCCATCGTCTTGTCCGGACCGTTCGGAATCATCACTGTTTTTACAGTGATAAACACAGTGATTGTCACACAAGCAAAGCGATTTAACGCCATTATATTTTTGATCATGTCTTGTCGCTTATCGTATACATTTAATCAATATAAAACAAAAGTTTATATTTACAAATGGGGACATTTATATTATACGTATTGTTGTTCTTCGTGAAGAAATAAAATGGTTCAGTTTAAATAATGTCAAACACATATATTGTTGGTTTAGTTGCAAATAATAATTGTGTATTGCATTTATATGTGTAGGTTATTAATCTAGGAATAATTTTTATTGTTGTCACGATGGAAAAAAAATAATACTGAATTAATTAAGACCATGAAAAGATAATCAAATCTGAATTCTACAAATTGTATTTTAACAATAGGCGTTTTTATACAGAGTATATTCTTTCGTTCGATGTATAGACGATTGTTTGTTTACAAAAATTATGATTTTTAAATTATTCAGTCATTAGTTTTACAGCTTAATTATTATTAAATATACTACCATCATCATTGCTGCCACCGCTGTTTGGCAACGTCTTATTGTTATTTCGAAATCTGTAGACCGGAGAGCTGCAACATCTAAAGTTATTCTGTATTGTTATTTTTTATATAAATATTAGTTTTCCCGGAATACGATGT